CAGAAAAGCAACATGTGGACCATTTAAAGAAGAAAAGCGCGCCGGGAGAAGTATAATATAGTGTGGCTATAGACTACCGAAAATTAAACGAGAATACGAGGGATGAGAAATATCCTATACCGAGATTTGAGGATATTCTGGACTGAATGAGTGGGGCGACAGTATATATTACCCTTGATCTAATAGCGGGATATCTTCAAATTAGAATGCATCCCAGGGACCGGTGTAAAACGGCATTTACATTTGAGCGCGGGCATTAAGAGTTCACAAGGATGCTGTTTGGACTAAAGAATACGCCCATCGCATTTCAAAAGTTGATGAATGAATTTTTACGAGGAATTGATGAGGATTTGTACCAGGTCTACATAAATGCTTGTATTCAGCAAAACAGGAGAGCAACATGTGGACTATTTAAAAAGCGTTTTTGAAAGAATTAAAAAATTCGGGCTAAAATCGTGCTTAGGCCAGGATGAAATTAGTTTTGTAGGCCATACTATTACAAAAGAGGGAATAAAACTGGATAAAGGGAAAGTGGAAGCAATTGCCAGAATGGCGATTCCGCACGACGTAAATGGGATAAGACGGCTGTTAGGATCTATGAACTACTACCGTCGGTTGGTCCCAGAAATGGCAGAATATCTGGAACCGATTAACAATTAGTTGAAAAAGGGCGAAAAATTTGCATCACGCTCGAAATGGGAAAACACATAATATGGCGCGGTTACAGGAAGAGCCAGTCCCAGCTTTCTCGAACTACAAGAGACAGTTCACAATCACGACGGACGCGTGCGAATACGCATTGGGAACAGGCTTAAAGTCCATACGGACCACAAGCCTTTGCAGTGGGTGGGTAAATTAAAAGAATTTTCAGTGTCACTTGATGGAAGGAGTTTCTTGGACAATATAATTTAGAAATTATATACAAACCGTGGAAAGAAAATGTAGTGGCGGACTGGTTGTCCCGAGCAATTATGATAAATGCAATCGATTAAAACAGAGGAGAACCATCCAGAGATATCCGGCAGTTTATACAGGGATGGACACCAGATGGAGAGGACGAACATAGTGCGGGGAGTAGGAACCAGAGGGACGAGCTACAATAAGAGGAGGGCTCCGACGAGGATAGGCCCGTAGACTTAGAGCTTGAGGGGATCATTAAAGATAAAAACATCGAGTAATATGGAAAACTAGGGCTTCAGGGATTTTAAAAGCTGAATATTTCCGGTATGAAAAGAGTGACATCACTACTATTAGGGCACAACCAAAGGTCAATTAGGATGTTATCAGGGTAAAGCTAAAAGAGACATCAAAACTATAGGGGACTTACCATCTTTACGTAGGAAACGCCAGAGTATGGGATAAAATGAAAAGATTATGACGAATGGAACAGTTAGGTATGGAAATCAACGGTAGAAACTCTGGGAGAAGTCGAGCGGCAGAAAGAGGTAACACCAAGACAAAACAAATCATTGGGGCAGTCCAGAAACAATCCAGGGCTTAAAACGTTAGTATTTTTGGTGGGGGATGAAAAAGGCCATCCAGGAAATCGTCGGGGCATGTGAGGTTTGTTTGACCACCAAATATGACCAGCATATTCCCAAATGGATCCAGGAGGAGACGTTTACGGAGGAGACTGCACTGTCTGATATACAAATAGATACGTTCTCCTGGAGAGAGTATAAATGGACCAAAATGCTGGACTTCTTCAGCAAGGTTTAGATTTAGTCAGAGAAAAGTCAGCGAATGCGGTATTAGGAACATTACGAACATTGTTTCGTTTTTATGAGGTGCCACAGAGAACTTCGTCCTACAGAGGTTTGGAGTTCGATAACGCGCAAGTGCGAGAAGAGGCGAAACAGATGGATATAGTTTGGAGAATCAATACCCCGGACATCCCAAGAGTAGAGGTGGAATCGAGCGGCTACACGGAACATTGAGCGACCATCTCAGGATTTATCAGGTCAAAAAAGGATTGGACCCAGAAGTGGTGATGGAAAAAGGGATAGCGGTATACAACTCCTCACTTCATTTAGTCACGGGGTTTTCTCCGTTCGAAATTCTTTTTGGGCTAAGAGAACGGCGTAGAGATATCAGGGCTACAGTAGTAAACGAGGATGTCCCGAATTATATGCTTAATATCTTATTTTATTTATTTTTATTAGGGAACCATGGAATAAAGCACGAAGGAAAATTGAGGGAGAAAAGGGAAATCGTGTCGCGAAAGCCAACATTAAAGTCCGAAATAATAATAATAATTCTATATGAAGCAGTCGGTGACAGATGCCGTCTATGTAAAGCTACAAATGAATCGATTCAGCATGTTACCTCTGGCTGCCAGGCATTAGCTGGTAAAGAATATCTAGCGAGACATAATAATGCGGCAAAAATCGTGCATCAGGCTCTGGCGCAAAAATGTAAATTGAAACAGACCATCAGCCTTTTTATTTTTTATTATTTATTTATATGTAATTTACAACTGTATACAAAAAATACATCTGGTAAATTCGCACATTGGTATAAAGGCATGGAAGACATGTTGAGAAACTACCCATTGGTAGCGCTCTAATAATATGTCTATATTAGAAGATCACGTGGCCATCTTCTTTTCAGACGCCTCGGAGGGTTATCAGGAATCGAATAGGAAGCAAGGTTAGAGACAAGAGGGTTGGGATGGTTATGAAGTTTATTATGGAACGAAAGATATCTGGATTGGGCCAAATCTGATACATAAGGAACATTAAGGTCATTATGGATAATTTTATTTGTAACAAAGTAAGGAGCATTGAGGATTTTACGAAGGATTTTGGATTGTAAGGATTGTATGCGAGAGGAATTTGAAGGTTTGGTGAAGCCCCATAGCTCAACTCCGTAAGTCCAAATAGGCCTTATTATAGTCATGTAAATCAGTCTTTTATAATTGATTGGAAGGTTAGAGCGTTTGTCTAGTAAGTGTTGAAGTAGTCGGAAACGTCGAGCTGTTTCTTGTCGTTTCAGTCTGGTATGAGGATTCCAAGTTAGACGTTTGTCCAGATGGAGTCCTAGGTAACGGATTTGTTCAACAGGAATAAGTGAGGTGTTGTTAAAGGATACTGAAGGACTGGAAGTCATTGGTTTACGAGCCTTTTTATAGATTATATTAGCAAAAGAGAATGTCAAGCTATACTGGGATCAAACGATGGTAACTGACCATAGTATTCCTCACAATACACCAGATATACTGCTCGTTAACAAAGCAACAAAAAAAACCATCATTATCGAAGTTGGAGTTCCTGGTGATGATGATATAGCTAAAACAATAAGTGAAAAAATTCGGAAGTATCAAGAGCTTTGCGAGGAGGCAGTTATACCGGCTGCTGGAAGTAAAAGTACTACCCATTATCGTATCCAGCAATAGCCTGATTCATAAAGATACTCTAAAATCAATTAAGCTACTAGGATTAAACTGAGAACTTCATGAAATCCAGAAAGCGGTAATGCTGGGAACCGTCAGCATTGTTCGAAAATTTTTTAATATTTCAAATTAAATAGTTAATAAACTGTACTCTTGACCTCGGTTCGGGTCTGTGGATTTATCCGGCATAAAGCCTAAAATAGAAAAAATAAAAAATAATAATAATGCTTTATTTATTATGGGATGAGTCCCTTTAGAATAATACAGGAGACAAAAATGTGGGCTAAGGAGCCTCAGAGATACATAAACAAGAATACAGTTTGATTAAATAGTCAAAAAATAAATAAATTAATAAGAGATATTATAAGTTACTTTCTAATTTAAATCAGTTAATAATAAAAAATTGAAAATAAACATGAAGTAAAAATAATAAAGAACGATCTAATAATTTATATACATATTTACAGTAGTAACTATTTACAATTTTATGAAGACTGGATGGATAAGAAATGATTAAACAGTCGGGATTTAAAGGTAGTAAGGGTTTTGGATTGACGGATGTGGGGAGGGATGGAGTTCCATAGAGAAGGGGATCGAATAATAAAAGATTTATCGAAAGCAGCGGTTTGGTGGGCCATTATATATAAATCTGAAGACCGGGAACGGGTACTGCGGGAGTGGACAGAGGATTTAAATTGAAGGAGCTCAAAGATGTATGAAGGACGGCGGGAGTGAATTACTTGGAAGAGGAAGGAGGCCAGGAAATACTTACGGCGGTAGGAAGGTTAAAGGAAGGATACTTTTCAATCGATATCTAAATAGAAAACCAAATAATGCGAAGGACGCGCGGCACTCGTTCATAATCTCTATTCATCGTTCATAATCCAAAATAATATTTTCGTATATTTATTGAATCCCCGAGATAATTCATGAAAAAAAGTTATAAAGAAAAGAAATTTGTTTCGGGGGTTAACTCACCGCCTATAAATCCTAACGGTTTTCAATAGATCTCAACGTTTCTGAGTGTGTTTTGATGTCTATTATTTGAAAGGTCATTAAATTTCTCACAACATTGTCAAAAATCATCTGAATCGGACCAGTTTTAGCAATGCTACGGTATATTGTTTTTTATAAGCTGATTTTAATGGCGGTTCATTTACCCGTTTAAGTTGCTTAGTTCATCAAAGAAATCGTACCCTGATGATTTCACTGATCGGTTTCTAGGAAAATGAATCTAATCCAATTTTTTTTTTCTAATGGACACATTTAAAGATGTATTTTTTTTAAATAGATTGGAAAGTCATGTAAGTGGACACACACGATTTTCCATTAAAATCATTGGTAACAATATGTAAATTGTCTTTACTCTGCAACTCTTCTATTCCATATAATCGGAGTTATGGAGGAGGGTATCACTATTTTTCTAATTCTTAATTTTATTGATTTAGTTGGACTATACTATGTTTATGTCAATAAAACATCTAAATGTTCTTATTTTTAACGTTTTTCTAAGATAAAGTAACATATCTAATAAATAGCAATGAGCTGATAGGTAATTGCAAGACTCTTGCGCAAGACCAAGACCAAGAATGAGTGCCCAAGACTAAGATCAAGGTTTGTTTACCCAAAATCGAGACCAAGACCGCCTCGGTCTCGTCTTGGTCTTGTGTTTGGGCAAAACTTTGTGCGATGTGCAATACAATTGTTTTACCTTTTTCTGTTTAAACTTAATAGCCAACTTGAGCCTTTCCAAGGTCTGCCTCTCACCAGGTTGCCAGACGTCTCCTGGTCCAGCCTCCGGATCGTAGTTGAGCATTATTTCTAATTCCAATGAGGTCCTGGCATGGTCAAGCAAGGAGGTTGCGAACACCTGACACTGTTCCCGCATGTCCTGAAAATATTTCAAAGATAATAAATATCTGGTTTTATTCCATGGGAAATCTATCGGGGCCGTTGTGGCCGATTGTGTTAAGACCAGAATTGGGCAAAAATTATCTATTGCTAACAGCTAAGGCAGAATAAGAAAAATCGGAGATCATGTACAATTACACCTGCTACGATTTGTTCCATGTTTTCTCCTTGTTCCTCAGTCCAAAAATTCATAACCTTATCGAAATTTGTCCTTCTCATAAATTCAAAAACCCGTCAAAACATGCCCCCCTTAAAAAAATTGATGGCACAAGTTGCGCTTCAAATGCGCCATGAATCCCCCTTCTGGGCACCCCTGACTCCATAAGACCGACACCCATTATTTTTATTTTTTATTTATATGCTTATAATTTCACGAACCAACATCCACTACTCTAACATGAGTAAGAGTTTAATGTTATGAAATAACAGCCAACAGCATAAATTGTTTAATATCTGCTCACAAAATATCTTAAGAACTATTATTTTATTCAGAAAAGGGCTCCCGGCCACATTACATATACCGGGCCCCCAGTATTGTAGAGAATTTATATTATGGTCATTGTTTAAATTTAAAAATGATTCATATGTATTATTCTAATATTAATGTGAAATAAATTAAAAACAACATAGCAAAAAAAAATCGTTTTTTGGAATTGAGTCTAAAACGTTGCATCTAAATAAGATAATAACAAATAACGAATAATTAGTTATTCATACATTTAACTTTTCAGTTCTTCACGCTTTTTTAGAAATTAAAGAAACTCCATAATGAAGTTATGCTGCTCACGGTTGGCTAAGGTCTTCAACTTTATCTTGTAAAACTTTCCAACTTGTAATCTTTTTTAAATGCTTAATCAAACGCCTTAAGTTTTTTCCACCAATGAATAAGGAAATAAATTGGATTTAAAAGAGGAGAAAAAACTGAGAAATGAACTTTTATTTTTGTATTTAAATTATAAAATATTATTTATAAAATATTTGGTATTATAATTATACTTATAATAGGTAGGCAAAAGATCTTAATCATAAAATGGTTTACTTAATAATAATTATCACTCAGGTATTCTACATGTATGATATTAAGTTATATGCACAAAATGAGAAAGACCTAAAGCATTAATTGGATCTAGTTGGCAGTTTCAGCTAGGATATAAATATTACCCTTGGGATAGAGAAATATTAATTAAGAAACATACAAGGTAAAACTGAAAGAAGCTGAAAATATTGAATTTGAACTTCAGCTGTTGAAGTTTAAGGATGAATCACGTGAAATGCTTTTGAAAATTAGTCAAGCTTCGTCTGAAAATGATTTTTTCATCAAGCAACATCATAAAGACAATAAACACCTTGTTATACGCATTTGGAGAGCTGAAAGGAATCGACACGAATTTGCAAGCGCTGGACCGTAAAGCTAGAGTTATGATGACGGCAACCAGAAAAATGCATCCAAAATTATCAGTTTCAAGACTGTATCTCCTAAGAAAACAATGCGGAAGAGAACTTGTTCTTTTCAAAAGCATTCGAGAACAGGAAATGCAGCTGAGAAATGATATCACTCGCAGCGCTTCGCAATTAATGACTACTATCATAACAATAAGAAATAACTTAACATCATTAATCCTCACAGTTGAACGTAGAAAGCTATGATCAAAGAGGAACTGATATGAGATTGGATCAGCAAAGTAGGTTTTGCAATAACCTCAGTTCAACAGGAATTAATCATTCTACCTTAGAAAATGAAAACTGTTCCTAGAAACTGAGGGTTTTCTTCTTGCTATACAAGACCAAGTAGCAGTAACTAACACTTACCGGAAGCGCATATAAATGGTAATGGGTTAGAAGTCGGAAGCTTAGCAAGGAGCAGGTACTTTGTTCAACGGGTGGACAATGGTTCTTTTCCAGACTTTGTGAAAGATGAAAGTTTGGAGAGAGAAATTATATATGTACTACAGTGCGCGGAATAAGGTGAGAAGGAAAAGTTTAATCATTTTAACGGCCATTTGGTCAGGTCTATAATCAATGATTTTGGATTTAAGGATCACAAATAATAGTTCAGCGGGAGAAATATCAATTTGTACATTTGGATTTAGGGTTATATGCTTGGGATTAAATATTATTAAAGTATTGGGCATTGGAACGTCGTAGGGATATTTGTGTAAGGTTATTTAGGGATCTAAAGATGGAATAATGCTTCTTATCATAAGCTCTGTTATTTCTGAATTAATCGAGGGTCTAAAAATACAGGTTTTAAGATGTGAATGATGATTAAGGAAATCATGGAGGTTAGAGGAAAGACATTCCGCTATGTCATTAATTAAGGCATGTGTGTATTTATGTAGTAATTTTTATTGGTTTAGTTTCTTTTAGTTTATATAGATAGATAGATAGATAGATATTTTATTTGTTTGAAGGGGGTTTCCCATACAAATAGAGCCTAGCTTGGCTATTGTACAATAAGATGGTTTTACAAATTTACATACATATCATTCAAATATAAATAAAATTTAAAATATTTAACGTTTAGAATGGTTTTCTCAAAACAAAAAATAGCAATAAAAATTAAAAACATAAAACGATTACTGCATAATATTGGTTATATGAACCAGTTAAATAAAAATAAAAATATTTATAAATGTAAACAAAATATTATTCTTAAGATAAACTAAAAATAAACGCTTAATAGAACATGGCTAAGATCAACAATTTTGTGTATGCACTTTGTGAACTCCTATCATTTAGTTTATATATATTTACTTTAATATTATTGTATCGCTGTTTATTTTTATTTATTTATTGCACATAGCGTGAATGAGCTACTCTTTTATCATTATTACTATTGTTCTTAGATGTGACAGATTGTAATATATCTCAATCAATTTTTTTCTGTAAAAAAAAGCGAGAGAGAGAGAGGGATATATATATATATATATAAAAGGAGAGATGATTCAAAGGTGGCTTCAAATTGGACACAATAACGACGATGAATAAAGAACAGATATTATAGGAAACTTTTTTGATGTACTTATTTGTGATTTTAAGGCAACTTTCCAGAACTTCCATTGGCTTGATAACATGGATAACGTGGAATTCGACGAACCGGTTGGCATTTTAAATAATGAATAGTATGGCCCAGCGCGCCCTGCCGTTAAATTTTATAAGTTAAGAAAGAAAAATAAGACTGATAAGGCAGGCAAGGGTGCTGGAAAAGTGTCGAATCCATAGAGGGCTAACAAGGCAGATAGGAGTCGTCGGCAGGAGCAATACCAATACGAGGTGGCTCGATATAACTATTACAATAGGAAAAGAAAAATTGTTCAAAATATAATGCACACTGACGCTCCTGAGTAACAGTGCCCACTGCAGGTAGCCAAGATTGAAGGGCAATTCAGAAACCTTTTTGAAAAGAAATATCTCTGCAAACGTGGGAATGACGAAAACGATGAGTGATAAATGACTGGGTGTTGTTCAGAGCTACCGAAGTATAAGAGCTCTACGACAGTAGCTGAGATTGAATTCTTTTGAAGAATGGGCCAGTTGCAGGTGGCAAGGCGTTGGCGTTATGCGTTTTAAAGATACTCCGAAAGCTAATAAATATATATGCCAGAAACAAGTCCTTTCGGGGTCAGAATGTTCCAACGCCTTAAAACTTACTGCTGCGTTGAGTCCCAGGAGCGGACAGTCGAAGGAAGTTGGGTCCCTCTGACGCAAACGAGAGCCTGAAACATCAGCCATTTTTAAAAACCTGATTTATTGACTACTTCAATTCCCATTTGTCTGATAATGCCTATGTCTGCTTTTAAAAAAAAATTGTGGCAAGTGAAAGTCGTGTGATGCGCATACCACCCTGATTTTTTGTATTTCAACTGTTGCTGCTGTTCAATCTCTTAGATCATTTGAAGTTTTGAAATTATTTTACACAGTTGCGCCCATTCGGTATTCCAGTTGGTAAATACTTCACTATTGTTGCTTGTTCTGCTAACCTCTACCACCCATTTTCCTAATATATCTGGCATGATCATGGAAGGTTGTCTTAGGGGACCATTAAACTATACCGAAGTTTATCTGGTAGATTTGGAGGACCAACATGGGTGATGGATTATGGTTTGTTCTGAATACAGTAATATAAAAAAAATAATTTCCTGGGATATAACGTCGTTTAGGACACAATAAGAAACATTATATATATATATATATATATATATATATATATATATATATAATATATATATATATATATATATATATATATATATATATATATATTTATATATATAAACTAATATGGAAGGTAAATTGAGGAATTCAAATTAGATCTGATTTTAAAAAAGTTTAAAGATAAGTTAGAGAGCGGGGTAGCTCAGTAGGTAAGACTTCCAAAGCTCAGGATTCTGGGTTTAAATCTGGCTAATGACAAGTAATTTTTCATAAGACATGGATTGACATCCCATGGCACACCTAGCCTCTTTAAAGTGGGAACTCTTAATTAAATAATTAATTAAGGGGGAAAACCTAGGAGTTTAGTGTGGTCCCGGCTTCATTTAGGTCTTATCCCTATTAATGTCATTTAACAGGACTTAAATGCCCAATATTAAAGGTGTCTTCCTCTAAATTACCGTAATTTGGTATATATCAAGTAATTAACTATCCATGTTAGGAGTTATGAAAAAAGGCTAAATATGGGTTTTGAAAGAATTTGAGTATTTAATAAAGGAGATAAAAAGGAAAAATGTTTATCCAGGTCAAAAATGAATCTCTTAAAATAATATTCATAAAGTATATGTATATTATATTGTTGGGAAGCGAAGAATTAAAAAAACAAAACTATATCTAATATAGAAAGCCGTAGAAGATAATGGATAGTGACGAAAAATTATGAATAATAATTTGTGAAAACTATTATAATTTAAAGAAAATCCAATGTTTTCAAGGAAAATAAATTAAATTTACTAACTAAATGTAAACATTTAATTTTTTTTTTTTTTATGTTTGAAAAAGTATTTAAAATTCACCTAATCAAGACAATGACATTGTTGTAGTAGATCCCTTATTTAGTTAGTTATCAACGTACGTTTATTTAGAAAAACCATGATGTAACTTTTAGAAAATTAAATTAGTGAATAATTAGATGAACTTTCTCTTTGTGAAATCCCAACATTATCCACTTACAATTAGTGAGACAACTTTTGACCTATCTATGGTGGGCAAGTGTACTAAAATAAAATTAAATAATATATATATATATATATATATATATATATATATATATATATATATATATATATATATATATATATATATATATATACATACATATATATGCAATGAAAATCTCTTAATTTTATTTCAGTACACTTGCCCACCATAGATAGGTCAAAAGTTGAAATGATAAAAATAGTATCGGCCACACACTCTAAGTGGAGACCTCGAGAACGCTACTGCCAAGATCGTCGGTGAGCAGTGAAAATGTGTGATGTGAAAATAAAAATGAGAACCACATCTTGCCCGAAGTGACCCTGCTTTTGACTGAACACGGTGGATCAAGACCGGAAAGTCGATAAATTTCCCTGCTGGCAGGCAGCAGTGCTACCAGTACTGGCATGGAGCCGATGATGGTAGGAGTCAGCTGAGTTCTGACCAGAAAATCATCTGTGAGGGAAGAAACCCTAAAAATGACTCAGAAGTCGGAGATGTTGGCCGAAAAGTGCACATAGTCCAAGGTGCACATAGTCCCCTGACACCTTTTACGGTGGTCAAGGATATCTGGACATCACGTATAGCCCTGGAGCCAGAGCCCAAAATTGACCTGATCGCAGGCGAAGGTTTGATTGTAAATTACGAAAGTGTGTGTTATTCTGAGTAAAAAAAAACCTTGTCTGCCGTTCCAGAGCCGCTGCTCTAAAAAATGGCGGCTGATTTAAAGAATATTAGTTCAATAATTTTAGTGTAGAAACGGGAAATCCATTGCGAAAAAATGTGAGAAAAGTTTTTATTTTTTTAAAGTTGTATATATGGGTTTAGACATGCAAAAATAAAATTGCTGACGCGGACCACCAAGGGAAAACTTTATACAGCCAAAATAGTCAGACATTTTCGTTGTTTTTTTGTTTTTTCGCCTACAACTCCTAAATTATGCATCACAGCGAAAAATATATTCACGTTAAATTTTGCGTCAAACAAGTACATAACATTTATAATTTGGTAACGCGGTAAGGTATAAAACCAAGGTCAACCAAGCTGATTTTTACCAAATTTGTCAAGAAATGATATAAATTACTATAAATGGCCCTGTAACATGGAAATGAGTTTCCTAAGAGGAAAATCTCATAGAATCAAAGTTGTAGAGCATAAAAATTTGCGTCAGCTAAGTACCTACTAATTTAACGTAGGTTAGTTACTGTGAACAAAATCGGTAATCCCCCGATGGTTAGAAATTGGTAATGAAGGTAAACGTGATTTTCAATATTTCAACAGTATGGGTGTCTATTCTACTGAGTTATTTTTGTTTAGAGTCTGTTACATGTAGTATAAGCCCCTTTTCCACCTTTCAACAGTAAAGGATTTCGCTACGCGATCTGTCGAAAGATACCGAATTTTATAAATAAATAACGAATCCCTATTCGAGATATATAGTTGGACTAAATAATGTCAGTAAAATATGTATTTAAAATAAAAATGTCAGTACTCAGCTTACACAAAATTTGATGTTCTACAACTTTGATTCTATGGGTTTTTCCTCTGAGGGAACTCATTTCCAAGTTACAGAGCCGTTTATAGTAATTTGTCTCAGTTTTTAACAAATTTGGTAAAAATCAGTGTTGGTTGACCGTGGTTTTTATAGCTCTCCGCGGGACCAAATTATAAAGTTTATTCCAAAAAAATTCTGTCTGTCTGTCTGTCAATCTGTCTGTGCCAAGATGTTTTCAGAAACTAATGAACCGATTTTGTTGCTTCTTTTTTATTTTGTAGGGTTTTGACTACTGATGCCTGTGACACATATTTTGTGCTCCATGCTTAATAGCTGTTGTGCAATAAGTGAAAAACATGTTTTTCTATAGACTGTAGCGCGAAAACGGCTCAAACGATTTTGATGAAACTTTCCTATAATATTCTAATAACTGCCCTTTCAATGTTCGTAGGTGGACAAATTCTTTAGAAAATTCAGTAAAAGAAGTTATAAAGAAAAGAAAAATGTTTTGAGGCCTAACTCGCAAAGTATATATTATACGGTAAAATTTATAATAAAACTTTTGAAAGCTAATTATTTATTGATGACGAGCAATTGCTGTCCTTGTTTTTCGCTGACGACCAGGTCGTGTTTGCGAAAAGGAGGTCTTTCTGGACGTAATGGTGTTTCAGCTGGAGACCATTTACGAAACTTCTGGATTAAAGGTAGTATATTTATTATCATTTCGACATTAATGCCAATAACCAAATAAAATTACAATACCCAAATTGAGGAGAACAGAAGAACTAAATTATTAAAAAGAAGGAATCATGTAAAATGAAGATTTCTATTTAATTATTTTAATAACTACTATAGTTACAATATTATTAGTTAAATGAAAAAAGTATTAATCGGAAAGAAAACAATATTGTTTTAAACCACTTTAATTTCACTTATGAAATCTGAAAGATGAAACTTGAACACTGACTCGAAAAAATAAAAATAAATAACTGATGTACTAGAAGCACTGAGTTCTCAATCGAGATTAAAACTCAGAGGAATTACCTGGAATCGACCCTTCTTATTCTTAGTTAACTAGCGGTTACAGTGAGAAAAAAACAAAGAATAACACAATCAACGCTTATATTGAAGGCAGAAAATTGGTAAGTAGAAGAAACTCAGAGTATTTACGTTCTTCTTCGAATATCGAAAGGTTTACAATGTACGCTTTATCGCTTCACTCCATTTTTTTCTATATATTAGTCACGTATGTACTAACTTTTTTCTTTTTTTTTCAAAACATATGTTATTTATCAATATTCAAGTTTTAAATAGAAATATATTTGTTCTTTATTTATAATAAAATATTCTGGACTAATTGTAAAGAACTGGAAAAGTGAAAAAAATGACAGACCGAAAAATTCCAAAGAGGATGCTCTAAGAGAAACCGGGTGGGAAAAGGAGTAGAGGATGCCGTCGGTTCTGATGGCTGGAGGATGGAGTATCAGAACATGCAGGGAGGTAGCACACGACCGTGCAGATTGTTTGGCTGTTGTGGAGGAGGTCCGGGTTCTTTCAGGACCGTAGTGCCATTGTAATAATAATATCTCTTAAGAACTAATTATAATCATAAGAAAAAAAGGTTTAAAGTTTTTAGGGCTTTAACATGAATAAATGCAATGGATATTAGACATTACTGCGATACCAACGTTATACTCAGCTCTGAACTCGGTCTCGAGCCTGCTCATCCTGCGAAGCTCCCAAGAAAGCTTAAAGGCAGTGAGGATAGGATCTCTGGAGCTAAGGGCGATGAGTGAGGACGAAGACAGAGCTCTGTAGGCGTTTATCCTCGACTGAGAATGCCGTAGTGAGTCCTGCTCTCTGCTCTGTACGCATTCGTCACAAGCACACCTTCAAAAGATAAAATATTAACATTGCAACATTTTTTGAAAAAAAAAATGATTATTTTTGACACATTTCTTCTAAAAAAAATTATTACCTTCATCAATATTGGTTAAATAAAAATATGTACATAGTGAATTGAAAAACAAGGATAAAAACTCAAAACCGTTTTTTAAGCTGATACTTGTTTTACATGGACTGATAAAAAAAAAAAAAAGTTTTCATGTAGTTAATTTAGTTTTGGCGTTTAGTAATAATCAATAATTCATGGTTTTTTTTTAAGAACAGAACTTAGCTAGAGTAATCCACTCCACAGCTCTCTTTGCTTTCGTTTGAAGTAAATTTTATCAAAAATCAATAATATAGTTTACTGAGAATCAATTGTTAATTGATAAATTAAATATTTTTTTAGTTATTACTTTTTTTTCATTTATAAATAATGTAACACATAAAATAATACAAAACTTAATTCCCAACGTTTCTGAGGCAAATTGGTATTCGAACTTGCGAAGAAGCTACTCATAGGTAACACTTAAATTATGAGATAAACTTAGTAGATCACTTTATCATCATCTTTTCAGCCTCAGCTGTGGATTATCAGGAACTGCTTTGTATGAAAGGTCTGAACTAGAGGGTTAGGGGAACCAAAGAGGTTGTAATTATAAGAGGAATATCTAATTCGGACCTGTTCTGCTCATGCGCTAGATTTTAACATTACCTACACTACATCGGCTCTCTAAAGTGTTATCATTTTACTAGTTTTATAGTGTAATATCACCCTGAAATATGTGTTAAACATGTCCAGCTCAATCTCTATCCAGCTATGACCATCCCTATATTCCTCCTCGAAGATTAAAACGGCAGTGTCCCCGAGACCTTTTACAAATATTCTTTTGGAGTCCTGGCTATGACCGGCTTCTCCACTCTTCCTGAGCGTCTGTGGCTCCAGTGCCCTCTTTCAGTTTCCACAGGTTGTTACGGTATTTTGAATAAAATGTTGTTACTGTGTTTAATTTAGAAGAAATTGTTTCCACAACGAACTTGCCGGACAATCAGTGGAGACGATAGTGTTTGCAAAAACAAAAGAAAGAAATTCAAATAATGAGTAGTCAATTAAATATTATTAATTATCTCACTGGCACCACGCTATTTAATTTGTTGATTCCGGGAAAATAGGAGAAAAGATTTTGACGCGGAGCAAACTCGGAACCTATGATTTTAAAAACATTTTATTTATTATTTTATTATTTTTTATTGGTGATATTTACAACTGTATTACAAGTAAAAATACATTCAGTAAATGTGAACAAAGGAATACAATAGAATGAAATCACATGTTGAGAAACTACCCATTGGTAGCACTCTAAAAATGTATTTACAAAAGGAGATCTCGAGGCCATCTTCTTTTCAGACGCCTCTGAGGGTTGTCAGGGATCGAAGAGGAAGCAAGGTTAGAAACGAGAGGGTTTGGATGGTTCTGAAGTTTGTTATGGAAGGATAGGTATCTGGATTGGGCCAGGTCAGAAACATAAGGAACATTAAGGCCGTTATGGATGATTTTGTTTGTGACAAAGTAAGGAGCATTGAGGATTTTACGAAGGATTTTGGATTGTAAGGATTGAATACGAGAGGAATTCGATGGCTTAGTGGAGCCCCAGAGCTCAACTCCGTAAGTCCAAATAGGTCTTATTGTAGTCATGTATATGAGTCTTTTGTAATTGACTGGGAGGTTAGAGCGTTTATCTAGTAAGTGCTGCAGTAGTCGGAAACGTCGAGCTGTTTCTTGTCGTTTCAGTCTGGTATGAGGATTCCAAGTTAGACTTAAAAACATGAAATGAAAAAAAAAAAATAATTCTGGGAATACAGTCCCCTAAGAATAATAACAGAGTTACATAATTAAGAACATTAGTCTGGCTTATATGAATACAAAATGATGCCTAATTAACTGTTGATTGTTATTGCAATTGTCCAGTTGATTGAATTAGACTTTGTAAAGACACAAGTGAATTTTATATGTTTGATGAAGTTTGACCACCTACTCCATATCCAAACTTTGGACATGTAAAATTCACTTGCCTCTGTACAAAGTCTAATTCAATCAACGGCACAATTGAAATAACAATCAACAGTTAATTAAGCATCATTTTGTATTCATCTAAGCCAGACAAATGTTCCAGTGGGGACTAATGTTCCACCAGGAACAGGAGTTGTTTAAAGGAATTTGTAGAAGAGGATTGACGTATGGAGTTAGGTAGAGAGTTCCAAAAGAAGGCAGCATGTATGAAGAAGGATTTGCTGAAGGAAGTCGTTTTATGGGAAGTGATATATAAATCTACGTATTTCGTTGGATCCACTTCTTAGTCTGTGAACCAGACCCCTCTACAGTGCACCCCCCTACTCCCCTACATCCATAAATTGCATATCTTTGTGTTTCTTATAACTATTTATTAAAAAAAGCCAATGTTCCTACAAGAAAAAGTGAAAACACTGTCCCAAACATGGCGGACTGACGACTTTGACTTTAGTTAGTTTTTTGTTCACTGAGAATCAGCATTTGACTTAATTTCGTCATAGTTGGTCTTTTATTAAAGCCGGATAGTCACGAAATAATAAAACATGAAAAAATATTTAAAAATAGTTGGCATAGGCAATATAAAACATCAGTAAAGTCAATTTCTTACCAAAAAAGTTATCAAGTTAAAAAGCATCGTTTGTAATTAAACGGCCTAAAATAACGCAAAACGTTTTGAAATAAAAAATCTGGAGAATATATTTCTCTTTCTATAACGCTGATTACTTTTAAAATATTTGAAGTAGTTTCGTAGAAAATGCACTTAAGCGGCAGATAAGCGGTACTGGTGTAGGTGCCTACAGTCCTATACCACACCATTCAGTAGACATAAATGGCTTAGTCACAGTAACGGATCCAGGAATTTTCTCAGGGGGCGCGCCTCTATACCAGGTGCTTCCCCTACCCATATCCGTTCCCCCCCCCCACTCCTTACTTGAGTTTAGCCGCTCAAAAGTCCTCTTTAAGTGATTTTAACAAAAGTAAACTCTATTTTTATTTAAAGTAAATTTTGTCTAGTGTATAATGAAGCAATCGTTAAATACTTAAATTAGATAGCTTTTTTGTCATATCTTCCATTTCAACAAAAAACGTGGCTTACATGAAAAATTACAAAACTTTAATTACCTACTTTTCTGCTGAAAATCAAACAATTGATTATATAAATAAACTTCTTTGTATTAATTGAGTTCGGCTATCACTCCTTTCATTATTTCCCTCTACTTACGAGATGTCCTGCATCTGGGTTTAGACATGCAAAAAAACTGCATTGCTGACACGGATCATCAAGAGAAAACTTTTTAAGCAAAAAATCCAGATTTATCTGATCTTTTTTTTCATTTATTACTACTAACAGTGCATCAAAAGAAAAAAGTATCCTTTGAGAAATTAAAGAACGTCAAATTGTACGTCGAATGAGTACCTAATCTTAATAATTTGATTAAACGATATGATCGATAGCCACAGTCAATGAACAGTAATCTTTACCGACATGTTCAAAATCTGAAAAAGATTACAATTAATGTCAGTGCAGCTTGGAAATGAGTTCTCTAAGAACAAAAACTCAGAATAATTTCTGATTCCGATCGTAATCAGATTCTGATCAAATCGGTGACCAAATAATCAGTATCTTGCCTCATGAAAACGTACCCAACAACAGCTATTTTAAGAAAATAACAACACTTTCTGATGAGAAACATACAAATTATTATCGTTACCAGTATTATAAATCGCATGGATTCTTCTAGGAGGCTATAGTTGCTGGAGGTTGCAATGAATCCAGATCTAGGAGAACTGAATAAAAACTGGGTCCAGAAGTAAACCCGTATTTTCTTGTGCTCGAATAAAAGGTTGTTCGAAAAAATAAATGCTAATAAAACGAATAAAAATAAAAATAAGTCCAAATTTTTAAAATAAATTTTTCTCCATTATGTATTTCACCTGTGAGATTTATTTCAGTTCGGAGTCAATCGGACCAAACTGCGACAGGAGCACAAGCCTTCGCATCTCACGGCGGCCCAAAGACTACATCACTCTATTCTTCGAATAGCTGTTTTTTGCAACTTTTTCCGAATTTTTTGTCCACCGTCCAGGGGGAGGGTCGCCTCCTTGCAGAATTCGCTTGTGCTCGTCACGATTATATTATTTTTTATATTACATTAGACAATTCGTCTATGAGGATGGATTTTTCCTATATTTCTCTTTTCATTAAACAGATGCTTAAAATATTAGTTTTCGAAAGGAAGGTCCAACGGAGGATGTTTAGAATAGTTAAGGAGAATTGTGAATGGAGAATTAGACGCAACCAAGAACTAGCTAACTTATACAAGGAGCCAGATGTGGTGAAATATATCCAGATAGTAAGGCTGAGATCGAAGGGCCAAGTTGTAAAGATGGACGAGACCTCAATCCCAAAGAAGCTGCTGAGCATGGAGCCGGTTGGAAAAAGAAAAGTGGACAGACGGAAACTGAGATGGAAAATGGCTTGATGCTGTTCAGGACAGAAAACAGGGAGGAAAACTCATGAGGCAGCCAAGATCCAGTAATTGATTTTTGATCACAGGATGATGATATTAATCATATTAGAATATTTGTCTTAGAGGATGATTTCTCCTATATTTCTCTTTTCTTTAAATGGCTGTTTTTGGATACTTTTGGAATTATTTTTCTACCATCCAGAGAGGAACGCTCCCCTTGGCAGAAATTACTAGTGCTGGTCACGATAGTAACTTTTTTTTTCATATTACATTAGAAGTTCGTCTATGAGAATGAATTTTTCCTATATTTCTCTTTTCTTTAAATAGCTGCTTTTTGGAACATTACCCCAACCATCCAGGGAGAGGGGGCATGCCCTGGCTGGATCTGCATGTACTGGTCACGATAATATTTTTGTTATGTATTCTTCTCAAAGGTTGAATTTTTCCTTTTTTTACCTTTTCTTTAAATAGGTATTTTTTTTTACCATTCAAGGAAAGGCGCGCCCCCAGGCTGAATTCGCTCGTGCTGGTCACGATTATAATATTTTTTTTTTTATTACATTAGGAAATTCGTAAATTATAATAAATTTTTCCTATAATATTTCTTTTTTCTTTAAATAGGTATTTTGTTATTTTTTCGGAATTTTTTTCAACTTTTAAGGGAGGACGCGTCCCTTAGCAGAATTCGCTAGTGATAGTCACAATAGAATTTTTTTTGTATTACATTTGGGAATTCGTGTACGAGAATGAATTTTCCCTACATTTCTCTTTTCTTTGAATAGGTGTTTTTGTCACTTTTTCGGAATTCTTCCCCCATCCTTGGGAGGGCGCGCCCCTGGCATAATTCGCTAGTGCTCTTCACGATAATATTTTTTTTTGATATTCCATTAGGATATCCATCGTCTATGAGGATTCATTTGCTCTATATTCAACTATTCTTTAAATAGCTGATTTTTGGAATTTTTTCTCCAGCTCCCAGGAGGGGGAGGCGATTCCCCAGCGCCTCTAGGCTGGATCCGCAAGTGCTTAGTTATAGTGCTATAATAACGTTTTTGGTACATTATACTGATTGTATTAAAGAACAAATATTAATGCAATAATTTAATGATCCAAAAAATCAAATAATTATTTTTTAATTTCTTATTTTTTTAATTTAACTTCCTATACTTTGCAGAATATCATGAATTTTTTAATTAATGTTTGAAATTTATCACTTTGCTTTGTATATTTACTGATTCTTAAAGGTATTTTATACTGTATATACTTCCCCGGAAATGGATCATAATAGGAAATTTTAATATTGAATGCATTATTCTTTCTGCACAAAGAAAGATGGAAAGGGCTAAGATATAAGTTCTCCTCGATAACCGGAGCTGATTGTTAGTATTTGGTCTCAAAATGAGGGAAAACGCGAAATTGAACCCAAAAATTGGAAAGATACATTAAGCGAAATAAAAAGGAAGTACCAAAATATCGGAAAAGAAAACAATTAACAATTAATACATTCTGCCACATTAATATTAGGCTACATAAATCATTCACACAATATGTACATCCAAATAATAACTAAAATAGAAAAAAATGAATAAAAAAAAGTAGAGAAAATAAAATAAGTAACTTACATGTCTGTGTACAAAAAATGAAATAATAGATAAAAGCTAAATAAAATTAAAATAAATAAAACACATTCACACCTGTATATAATATTTACATTCACCCAGGGGACTCTGAGTCATACTTTATCCCCCAATGTGGAAGCAAAGGCAGGATTCCAGGAAATCTCTCCCAGCCGCGTCACTGGTATTAGAAACCAGAGGAAACTGATGGAGAGCACTACAGCAACAGACACTCAGGGCCTAATTAGAGAATCTGGCCATTACCAGAACTCCAATATATAAATATTTACAGAAGGTCGTGGGGTCACTGCCGTTTTAACCTCCGACGAGGATTGTAGGGATGGCTGGAGCTATATATAAGGAATTTGACCTCAGGGGGGTTGACGCTTTAGGAGGCAAGAAGGGAGGAATCGGAGAAGAAAGGAGGTCTTTAACTTCAGCAGTGTGGGTGGGTTGGAGTTCGGTGTGGATAGTGAATGTGTTGGATAGGTGTTTCGCAAATTCTTCAGCTCTAGTCTCATCTGCGAAGCCCAGGTTCCATCATCTCTTCGGAGTGGGTGGGAAATAGATTGGTGTTTAAGGATTTTTTTGGTCACTTTCCAGAGGGAGTTGTCATCGGTAGAGAGGGAAGAAAGGTAGGAATTGTAGGATTGGGATCTAAAGCTATTCAATTCTTTTTTAACCTGTTTGGAATAATAACTGTATAATTTCCGATGATCAGGATGCCTGGTTCTTTGCCAGAGGGTCCTAGATTGTCGTTTAGATTTAATAAGGTCAGGGGCAAAGGATCGTTTTTAATGGATTTTTTGGAGGGGAGTGGTGAGGATGCAGTCGAGACTGCTTGTTGGATCAAGGTGGTGAAGGAATTCATTGCATTATCTAGGTCATGAGGGGTTTTTACGGATACTACGAGGTCTATTGCATATGTTATTGTTTGGCGGAAAAGGTTCCAGTTGACTGGGCCTCTGATGAATGAGGGAGGAGATAATTTGGGGATAGGAGATGCGGAAAGGGTTAGGTTTAGCGGGCTATGGTCTGAGAAAAGGTCATCGAGCCGTGAAATTGAGTAATTTAACGGCCCTAGACCTTTGTGAATAAAGAAGTAAAGGAAGTCAGGATTATGGTTAGGATCTGTTGGTCAGTATGTAGGATTATCAGGAAAAAGGATATTGCTATTATGGAAATTAAGAGGCTACAGCAATGTTCGTCCGCGGGAATTCGTGGTTCTGGCTCCCCATTGCTGATGTTTTGCATTAAGATCTGCACCTATAAGGAAATAGTGTCCCCAGGAATTGAGAAAAGAAATGAAGTTACGTTCAGGTATTGCTATTTTAGGTGGAGAGTATGCTGCGACAACTGTAACAGGGATAAGTGAGGTTTGGATTGTTATTGCTATGATTTGTAGGAAATTATGAACTGGTAAAGGATAAAAGTGGTGGGAGAGGGACTGGTGGATGATGACAGCAGTTCCTGCACTTGCTGTTCTATCAGGATGGTCTGTTAGATAAATCTTGTAACCAGGTATGTTAAACTGTGGTTTGTTAGTTAGTCTGGTCTCAGTTATTAGGGCTATGTCAATGTTACTGTTCGGTTTAAAAAAAATTAGTTCGTTGATTCGTACAGCATTTACATTCCTCAGGAGAATGGATTGGGACTCTGTTGAGGACATTTAAGGAATTCCTAACGGTGGGATAAGATTAGCTATGGCATTTGTAAGTAGGGAGATGAGCGGGGTGATGAGGGATTTGATCTCGGAAAGAAACGATGCGAGGAGACTGGTAAGGTCATTGGAAATGTTAGGGGGAGGAATGTTAGAAATTCGGTAAAGACTGGTCTTTGGGTATTCTTGGGTATTGTGTTGGGGTAGTGGATCAAGAGGTTGTTGAGTTTGCGGCAGGAACTGAGGTTGAGTTGACTGTTCTATCTCTCCTAGCATTTCGGTGCAGGGAACTTCATTGTTCACACGTCTTGAGGGTTGTCTTGGTGGTCTGGGAGTCCTAGAGGTCTCTTCCTGTCTGAGTGCTGCCTGTGTTATTGATTTCAAGATTTTATAAGTTTGGCATCCCTAGTAGTTTTCTGGGTGGTTGAGATGGCACAGTGCAAACACTGCAGGTGTTTGCCTAGGCTTGGTGCATTGCTCAGACCTGTGTTGCTGTGCGCACTTCACACATCGATGTAAGCGATGGCAGTAGCTTCTTGTATGGTCATAAGATTGACAATTATGACATTGTACTATTTCCCTTTTGGTGTATGGTTTTTCACCCACTATACTGGTGTAGTACAGACGATTAAGTTTATAAATATTTTCGACCCCTGGAGAGCGCTCTAAGTCCACAAAAAATAGTGGTAGTTATATTTTGTTGTTTTTGCCAGGCTGCTCTTTATTTTCTTTATAAATATTAACGATTTGACGGACATTGAAACTTGAAGCTGTCAATTCTTCTTTGACTTCATCAGGAGGAGTTGAAGGGTGTAGACCTCGTATCACTACTCTCAGTGCTCTCTCTTCATATAACTGGTGGGTGTAAAATTCAGTCTTATTCTGTTAAATATTTAATAATTTGTCTATATGCATCAGGAGAATCCGGCATTAGTTTGGTGTCATTGGTTCTACTATGGCATATATATTTACCATTGTCAATTATTTTATTGAGATGCTGACAGAATAAACTAATTTTTTTAATATTTCGAACAAATATTGAAGGTGGTTTTGGCTCTCTGGGGTTTGGTGTTGCTTCCATTGTATCTTCTGACGATAATAACTGGTATGGGTTGGTGGTGAAAAACGGAGATTCGTCTGTTATTTGTATTGAAGAACCAGGTTGTGGATCATTAATGGTTTCAGTAGGTCTTTCAGGTGTTGATGGTGGTGTTTTCTTATTGGAACGCCTTGGCCTTTGCTTAACAGGTGACCTTTGAGAGCTGTTATTACCTAAACTTCTAGATCTTTTACTTTTGCTAGACTGGACTACTACTGGACACTATTGTTCAAACTTAATAAACATGCGGTTACTCACTGTGATTATGATCTATTAGAGAATGTATTTTATAATTGTTCAATTGCACTAGTTTTTTAACACAACTGTTTACTAATTCACTGATAATTAAGATAATTCTGAGAGACGATTTAGCAGGTGGGTTGAAAGATACTAGCGCATGCGCAGAACTGATTTATTTTTATTAAATATATCTGGTTAATAATCATCAATAATTATTCAGTGGCATCCCAAAAATGATATTTTAAAAGTACAGCAGTGGATATATATTTTCAATAATTAATTATTGAAATGAAAACTTACCTTATATCGTGGGGAATCGGAAGAGACGCTCCCCTGTCCAGAAGGATTTTGAGTATCTCGTAGTTATTCATATGAGCAGCTAATATCAGGGGCGTGATATCTGGAGTAAAATTGGAACTGGATCTGTCAAGTGCTTCCCAACTCTGTAATTTTAAATAACGTTTGAACAGTGGAATTTTCACAAAATGCTGTGAACGATAAAATTTCTGAACTTAGGGTTGATTCAAAGGAGTTAAGCAAGGCAATGCTTATTTAAAATTTATCCTGCCTTCCGTTATTCAGTTATATATTGGCTATATTATTCTCTCACAGCTTTCATTTCATCAAGGAAATAAAAATGGAAAAATAGCGAATTATGTTTTGAATTTAATAAGTAACTTTTTAAATTGGAATGAAGGATGTCATCCATTTCTTATATAGCCTTGGGTGTCAGGGAGCACTTATTTTCAGTAGCGTGGGTCTCACTCCTCTACCAAAAGAACTCTCAATTCCCACAAAGAGGTCTTTGTGAAAAGGACAAAGCTTACTTTTACTTTTTTCTTTCAACGTCATCTTTTCTTGATTGTAGTAAGGTTATGTGATATATTTACGTTTTCTGTCGTATACTGAGTATATGCTATGGAATGTTTAGATTTAATGATATAATGTATTTGATGATACGGGTCAACGAGTTTACCAGACCAATTCTATTATTTTACTTTTATCTTTCTAAAGGATACACAAGGTAGCATGGTTTCCCCTCCCCCCCCCCATATTTTTCAATGTTTTTGGGAATTCTATAACGAAATGTCATACTTTTTAGTTGTCATTTCGGTGATATAGTAACTTTTGTAGACTTCTCCGATTCTTTACCACCTTACATAACTATGAAATTTCCCTTAAGAAAAGGCATATTTTATTGTAGATTCTGATAAATAATAGAACCATAAAGCTAATTTATATTAAGGTATTTTTCAATCGAAGACGCCAAAAAAAAAATAGCAGATTTCCGGTGCGATTAATATTTATCTTCGGAAGGAAATATTGTATTGAAAAGTAGAGATTGGCAAACACTGCTCTAAGTATATTTATAAATGACAGGGAATTTTATTTTAATCACTACCCAACTTGATAGATGATGATTGACGCAAAAAAAATATACCACCAGCGGTAAAAAGAAGTAGCGATAACTAATGTTCCAAATGCCTTAGTTTAAGTTAATGATATTATAATATTTTCTAAATCCATTGAAGAACATCAAAAACATTTAGGAAACATTTTTGAAACCCTTCCTAAACATAATCTTGTTATTCAATTAGACAAAACAGCATTCTTTAAAAAAGAACTTCCATTTTCTGGATATTTACTAACCACAGAAGGTATAAAAACACATCAATTTAAATTTGACGCAATTACGAAATTTTCATTACTAAAAACCGAAAAATAAAAGACATTTTCTCCATAATTATGCAAACATAGCATAACCCATGACGCATTAATTAAAGTGTAAAGACAACATTGAATCCGAAAATTACAAAAATGCTTTGAGAAATTAAACATTCATTTAATGAATGCTCCAATATTATTGTATCCAAATTATGGATGACCTATGGTAGTAACAAAAACTGCATATAATATAGCAATTGCAACTGTACTTTCTCAAGTAAAAGAAGGGAGAGAACATCCCATAGCCATTGGATTTTTACTTCAAGAAAACTTAATGATATGGAGCAAAACTATTCAACAATCGAAAATGAACATTTGGCAATTGTTTATGCTACAAAGCATCTGTGCCTTACTGGTATGGAAAAAAATTTACAATTCAAATGGACAATAATCCTTTACAGTGGTAATACAATATGAAAAATAATAATACAGAAATCATAAAATGGATTTTTTATTTAAATGAACATGATTTATGTTCTGATGAAATAAAATATCTTAAAAGTAAAACTAACAAAGTAGCCGACGCTTTAGGTAAAATGAAAATAAACTCGGGGGACATCTCCGGAAGGTTTTGATATTGATGAAACAATTTTAGAAAATAATGATATGTAAATAATGATGATAATAACATTAAAGAAGAAAATATTATTATTGAAATAGAAAGTAATTGTATACGATTATAAAACGAGTTTAACAGTTTCAATTATTATAAAGATAGCTTAAACGCCCAACATTCTCTAGAAAGTACTAATGAACAAATATTTATTGTTGATGAATCAAATAGAAATAAAATCAAATTTTAATCCGAAAGGGACGAACACAAATTAGATTAGAAACAACCTTTGGTAAAAACATTTATGATCTCAGACCAAACATAAAAAGTCTGGTAGATCTAAAAGGTTACAACTATTTAACGTAGATGAACATTGCGCGTGGAAACAGAGATCATTCATGATTGAAATACAAACAAAAAGGAAGTGGGGGATGTCATATTTCATACTTAGCTATGTCGTTATAAATTGATCATATCAACAGACCTGATGAGAAAAATTCATGTCTGCCAGCATATATCCACTGGAATACAAAATGGCGGCAGTGTGAAGATAGATAGAGGCCCTACATAGGTTGTAAGCGTATATAGAGAGAGGGCTTATAGATATATAAAGTTACCGAACCTTTCAATTTATACCATTTACAGTCTTAAGAGATGAAGTAATAGTCAGTTACCCCATACCCGTGAATTTCAAGTCGAAAAATTTAATTTACTATTAAAAAAGTTGACTTTTTTAGGTTTTCACTTATGTCAGTGAAGCTATGCGTTATATCTATTATAATTTCATATGAGAAATTAAAGCTGACAAAATTTGCAATATAAATGGTTATATTAGTGTTTTCGCTAAATTCTATAGTTTCCGAGATATCTGTCATCGCAATTCAGCTATACGAAAAAAATAATTTTTTTTCATCATATTTTTATCATTATTTGACTCGCTAACTCTTTATCTTTTTCAACTCTGTACCTCTTCTCATCTCAGATACAGTTCGGTTTCTTGGATTCCTTTTAGACAAAAGACTAACATGGAACCCTCCATACTAGACCTAAAAGACAAGAAATTAACCGACGATTTGGCTAATTATATTGACTACTCAACAGAAACTCTGACCTCTCAATCGAAAATATATCACTGGAATTCTGGCAATTACCAGCTTCTTCACTCAAGTCACGAGCGTATGGGGATTTGATGCCCTCTTTTAGTTTCCACTGGATTTCCCAGTTTTGCGGTTGAGAGAGAAGCGAGAAGGGATCTCTCATAGTCTTTGCCATATCCTCCACAAGTGGTGGGAAGGGCGTGACCCGGAGATGACAATACATATTGTAAATAAGTATGAATGTTACTTATTTACAATATTTATACAATGTTCTAATTTTCCTATATATATATATATATATATATATATATATATATATATAATATATATATATATATATATATATATATATATATATATATATATATAATATATATATATATATATATATATTGTTATCGTATATGTGGTAAGGATAAGTCTTATAGATTTAATGCTCAAGGCCCTTAATTGAGGAAAAATGTATTTTTTCTCTATAAAGTAAGATTTTTAAAGAAAAAAAATATTGGTTATAAAACATTTGTTAAATTTATTGAGTGGATAGGCGATGTAATAAAAAATCAAGGGAAGAAATTATCAACCATTCATGAATAAATCATTATCATAAAGAACTAAATTTAGTTTATGAGCAAATGAGCAAAAGAAGTGAATCCTGAAATAGAAATATAGCAAATGAGGAAAGTTAAAATAAACCTCGTGTAATAGTAAGCACTAGAAATAAACAAGAAAATCTTTTTAGGCATGTTTATCTATTAAAATATAAATATAAACCTCTCAATGTACATAAAGATAACTTAACTTTAAACATTCAAAGAAAATGAAAATTGAAAAGAAACAATAATATTCCAGATAATGAAGTTAATATGGATGTTGACTCTGAAAATATGAAATAATAATAAATCCAGAAAATTATACAGGATTGGTTGAATTCAAATTATCTGATTTTAAAGGAATACCGAAACAATACTTTAAAGGAATACAAAACAATAATACATAATTTAAATTTAACACCCTTTCAATAAATTCAAAATTCTTTAATTAAGGGGCATTAGAGAGAGATTATTATGTAGTATTAGAGGAGTTTTTGTATTGAGGTAATTGCTGTTTAATTTTAAGCAATACATCCAATATGATATTACTTCAAAGCGATTGAAATTTCTAAAAGTTAATGTTAATAATATTATTGATCTTCCATGTTATAGAAGAAAATGAGACCTGGATATACGGCATAGGAAGTGCAATAAACCGCCTAGATTCTGTTGACAAGGCTCCTTACCATAAGGTCATTCCAACTCTTGAAGAGAACAACTGTCGTATGGAACATAACTTAGTTCACGAGATTCAAATTAATAAAGACCTTGTAAACATATATTAAAAAGCCATTAGATTAATTTTAAGAATAGCGATAAATATTGTAATAAATTAATAATAAATATCAGAGTCCGAGAAAAATTAATGGGAAGAATTTGCAAAATGCCTGGACAGTGCCTGTAGGAAGAATATAAAGTGATTCTGGGAAAAAAAGACAATAAAAGCACTAAAGGATAAAACAATCAAAGTGATCAGAAACATCAAAGATGAAAGCGGGCATATGATCACAAACCCAGACAACAGCTTGTCACAACACAGGCGGATCTACTGGGGGGAGCTCTTTCGGGCAGAACCCCCCCCCCCCACATGGTAAAATGTAACCATGTTTCATAGAAAAAAAAATAGTTAAAAATTATCTTTTAATATATTGTTGACTATGTAATTACATTTAATATGACATCAAAAATTACTAAAACACCAATTCATATAGGTAGTTGGTATTTTTCTTTTTTTTTTCTAAAGTAATTATCGCTATATAAATGAAAAAAAAAAGTTTTCGGGCTGAAGCCCTCCCTCCCAAAAAAAAAAAAAATCGAATTCTGGATCCACTAGTATCTTTGATATATAGAGACATTACTATTCACAGTTCTCTGAGCTCAGACAACCTCTAGAACACGATGAAGAGATCATTAAAGTGGCTTAATATGATAGAATCCGGGAGGAAGATATAAAACAGCTTTGGAGAAACCAAACATAG